TGCTCTGAGCGATTCAGCCGCACACACCGCAGCTGGTCCCTGGGGCCCCCCCTGTGCCCGGGCAGGGCGCGCGCGGCAGGGGGCTGCGTCTGCGAGCCGAGCTTCGTGGCCAGCGCGGCTCCTCCCTGGGCAGGCTCGGGGCTCCTCGTTAGGCCGGCCGCGGGGGCTCCGGGCACCCTGATGGCTTTGCGGCTCCGATCGTCTGAGCCTGGGCCGAGGGGCAGCCCGCAGGAGCGTCTGGCCCTCCGTCCTCCCTCCCCTCCCCGACCCTCTCCGCAGTTCTGAACCATTTCGCATCTGACCCCACCCTCGCCGTTGCAAAGGTCTGAGAAGGGAAGTCGGGGTGTCCCTGAGCAGGGCGGGCCCACAGCCCCAAGCAGCCCCGGTGTGCAGCTCACCCAGGGGCCAGGACTGGGTCAGAACAGTGGGCATTGTTTTGGCCAAGGTCCAGGGTGGAGGGGGCAGCGGGGCCCGAGATTATATGGGCGGGGGTGCAGTGGCGACGGTCCCTTCAGGCTCCCCTTCTTTGGTGATAGCCGACCCCCCAGCCTGTAGCTTTGTGGGGCAGACCCCGGGTCCAGCCTCCACCTGACTCCACATCTGGGAGGCAATTTGCAAGCCAAATGAAGCTAATTTTTGTATTATTGCGACGTCCTTCCCTAGGGGCCTCTGTCCTCTCACACACGAGCCCTAGAAGGGCACCCCGAGAATCCTAGAAGGTCACATTGGAAGGGACGGTCTCTAGTTCAACCTCTTCCGCACCCCCAAACCCTCCATTTTGCAGACTGGGAAACTGAGGCTGTAGTGGAGTTGCCTAAGTTCATATCCAAGTACTCTGTATGCCCACGCTTGCCCTTTGTTCCCTGACTAGGGTAGGGGATAGGTAGAGCCCAGGCTTTCTATATGAAATAGCTTTCCTCATGATCCCACCATCGCTTAGCCAACAACTAACTTAGCTACAGTGAATGGAGCAGGTGGAAGCCTTAGTTCTGGAAACCTCAGTCTGGGGCCAGTCTTGTGTCTCTGCTGGGGAACGGCCCTGCCTACGTGTAGACAACTGGAGGTTGTTGGACTAGGTGCCACGATGCTATGTACTGCGTGGTAATGATTCTTTACACACTGGACTAAGGTGGTTACAACAGGAGAGATTTAGAATATAAGCCTGAAAAAAGAAATCCATCTGTTTGGGAGCAATGAGCACTGGTGTAGGAGAAGGCATCTTTGGAGGACCTTTCTACGCCTACCCCATTTGTGACTGGGGTGGGTGTCCCTTCTCAGGCACATTATACACTACGTTGACCAATGAGTTGCTGTGGTCCATCTTCCCTACCACTTCATACACGAATCACCCAGGTCAGATACAGTCAGATGGGAAGGTGGTAATTCCAGGTCTGGTGGCGGGTGGAGGAGCTGTAGAGGTAGGCCTGCCACGTCCCTTTGGTTCTCATTGAGGCAGGAGGGCTACACAGGAGGGGGTCCCATAGTACAGCCCAGGCTGGGGCCAAGGACTATAAGCCAGGGCATCCCAAGGCTGCGGAAGTGGCCGGTAATCTATAGAGACGCTGGGGTAGGGTGCTAAGGAGGGATTGGTGGGAGAAAGGATCCAGAGGGCCCAGGATGATCATGCCTTCAGCCCCAGCAGGAAGTCGTATCTGAGACCCTGGTTTCAAATTCCAGCTCACTCGTGCATTCATTCAACAAACATTTATTATAAGTGCCTATGGGAAAGGCACTGTGCTAGGCTCTGGAGATACAAAGACAAAAATGAAACAGTCCCTGCCCTCAAGGAGCTTCCATTCTAGTGGAAGGAAAACATGTACACAGATAATACAAAATATATATACAAAGTAAATACAGAGCAATTTCAGTTGGGGTGGGGGGTGCAGGGTCAGGAAAGGAAGGCCTCGTGTAGGAGGTGGCACTTGAGCTAGGCCTTGAAGGAAGCTAGAGATTCTAAAACTGAGGAGAGAGAACATTCCAGGCACGGTGGCCAGAGACATCAGGCCATGTACAGGGAACAGCAAAGTTGGCCAGTTGGACTGAAATGTAGAGTCGATGAGGGGTATGCCATGTGAAGTAAGCCTAGAAGGGCTATAAATGCCAAGCAGGTAAGTCCGAGTTTCATCCTAGAGGCAAGAGGGAGCCACTGACACTTACCCAGCAGGGGCATGACACAGTCAGACCTGTGCTTGGAGAATATCCATTTGGCAGCTCTGTGACAGATTTGGAGTGGGGGCAGTGAGGCCACTTGGAAGGCAATTTGGGCAGTTCAGGTGAGAGGTGATGAGGGCCTGAACTGGGGCGGTGGCCAAGGGAGTGTTGAGAAGGGGTCAGATGCGTGGCATGTGGAGGTAGAAAGGACAAGATTTGGCAACGGGTCAGATACGTGGGATGAAGAGCTGAGGGTAAGGTTGCAAACCTGAGCAACTTGGAAGGAGAGTGATGCCCTCAACAAAAATAGGGACAGTTAGTTGGGTTTAGGGGAAAGAGGAGTCCTGTTGTGGACACAGTGAGTCTGAGGGGCCTACGGGACATTCAGCCGGAGAGGTCAGACAGACAGTTGATGCAAGGCTAGAGCTGGGGGAGGAGTCAGGGCTGGAAAGATTTGAGAGGCATCTGCATAGAGAAAATGGATCCCTCGGGAGCAGAGATCACCATTGATAATAGCGAAAGTTGACATTTATAGAGTGTAGGCTTTGCAAAGTGCTTTACATACATTATCTCATTTGACCCTCATAACAACCTGGTGAGTTAAGTGCTAAGATTATGCCCATTTTACAGATATAGAAGCAGGTTCAGAAAGGTCCGTAAATGACATGTACGCCATCACATGTCCGGTGTTAAAAGCGGGACTGAATCCATTTCTCTCCTTCAGATTCTAGCACCTTTCCCCATCCGACCATGCTTGCCTCATCTTAGGGACAAGAGACATTGGTCAGGGGCCAGACAGAATCAGGAGAGCAAAATGACATAAACACCTCAGGAGAGCATAGGAGTAGGGGGTGGGGGGCCTGGAACACTTATTAGCCATTTCTGACCAGGGACAAGTCTCAACTTCTCTGAACTCATTTCATGTATAAAAGGGGAACCAGTAACAATGATACCTGCCCTACTTAGGATACCTACATACCAAGGGTGGGAGAATGCTTTATAAATCTCAATTTGTGTGTGTGTGTGTGGGGGGGAGTGGGTGGGAAGTGGGCAGAAGGAATGTGAAATCTCTCCCCAAGGAGGAGCCCTGATCCTTCTCACCCAGAGCAGCAAAGCCAAGACCTCGTGCCCTTCACCCTGAGGCTAGAAGGCAGTTCCCTGATACACTGATGTATGACAGCAATCTAACAGCTTGGCTATGTTAGGAGGTAAGGCATAGGGAGTGACAACTGATGGAAAAGCATTTATTAAGCCCTTACTATGTGTAAAGCACTTTGCCAAGCACTTAAGATACAAATAGTAAAGGGACAGTCTTGCGTTCTTTACCATTCTCTGGGACTTCAAGGACCCAGGGATTGCCAGAATCATGCTGATTACAATTAAAGAAATTAAAATGAAAATATTGTGGTAAGACAGAACACTGGCCTGGGGGCCAGGAAACCTGATTCTAGTCCTGGATCTGCCAGGAATTTGCTTTGAAAGCTTAACCAAATTAATTCTGCAATCCGAGTCTGGTGAAATGATTCTACGTCGGGGCAGCTAGGTGGTGCAGTGGATAGAGCACTGGCCCTGGATTCAGAAGGATGTGAGTTCAAATCCAGCTTCAGACACAGAACACTCACTAGCTGTGTGACCCTGGGTAAGTCACTTAACCCCAATGCCTAGCCAAAAACAAAAAACAAAACAAAAAAACCCCAAAAAACACACACACACACACACACACACACAGGAGAAAAAAAAAAGAACTGAAATGATTCTGTGTCTCATCACACTCCTTTCTGGACAGTCTCTATTCCAGGTACAGGAAAACTATAATTCAGCTAAAGACAGTGGATCTGATTGGAGAAACTGGGGTCTTTACAATTAGATGGTAATCAAGGTCCTGATGAATGGATTCCTGCTCCCCACTCAGAAGCCCCAGTGTGCTGACTGACGTGGGTTAAGTAGATGCCTCTGCCATGACCAGTTTTGAGTCAGGGAGCTATACTATTCTGAGACAGAAACCTGTTGCTCGGCCCAAGGATACGAGTGGAGATTCCCCCTAGGGCCTACAAATGAACTAGGCTCAAAGGGGACAAGCCATAGCCCTCAGAAGAGTGCTCAGGGCTGTAGACCACGAGGAAGTGGGTGGGGACAGAAAAGCTGGGTGGGAGTGAGGGTGCATAGGGTATGACTTGTCTCTGTCATTCCCCAAAGTTGGTTTTGGCTCAGAGGCAGGTCACAATCCTGAGATTTGGTTGGTGAGGAAGAATAATAGAAAAAAACAGCCGTCGTTCCCCTCCACCTCCCTCCCCTCCACTTTAGCAGCTGACTCCTTCACCAACATGTGGTAGTTTGCTCCTCCCACTACCTAAAGCCCAGAAGAGCAAAAGCCCCGAATAAAAATAAAACCATGACTGAGCACTTCAGGCTGGGCGGTCAACTAGGTCCAAAGGCTATGGGAGGATCCTGCTGATCTATGTTGCAAAGCACAGATGTGGGGCTTCAGCACATGACTGGTGGAGGACACTCTCCTGGATCGGAATCCAAAGCAGTGCTAGCGACAGGCATCCACAGACCTGTCCCGGACCCCTCCCACCACCAGGGCTGGCATCCTGGGGCTGCTCTTACGCCTTCACGGCTGCCAAGAAGATAACAAGGGCCTCCCCCTCGGTGGGGGTGGGGCAGGGAGTGTTCACAGTTCAAAGACTGAGCTAAGAAAACTTACTAGGCATTTTCTGCCTTGTCTTCTGGCAGCAGGGATAGTCAGGCACATGTTTCTGTGAAGAAACTGCTTCCTGGCCTAGGAGATCTGATGGGAAATGAGGTCTATCTCATCATCACAAGTGAAAACAATTCCAACAAGTGTCCATGTTTTCAAATTTCCAGGTTTAATTTCAATGCCAACTAAGTGTAGAAAAAACGGGCTCTCTTTGGGTTACACAACTTGGATGGAGATAGGCACCAGGCTGTACCCACCCACTGCCACCCCCACTCTTGAGCCTGTGCTGCCGGGACATCTGGCTGCTGTGAAGGTGGGCAGATCTGAGTTACGAAGGAGCTCTCAGGGGGCAGGGACAAAATGTAAGAGCTATGCAACTGTGTTAAGTCACCACTAAGACTCAATTTACCAGGATCACATCACCCTACAGAAAATTTAGGGCCAGACACATCTACAAAGGAGATTTTGCAATTGGTGACCTGGAGATAAGAAGCTCTTGTCAGAACAAAAAGCCTTCGCCTTGGTATGGGTTCTGTGCTTTGCAGTCCCCCAGACAGCCCCTAGCAGGCCTGGGACACATCCAGAGAACTGGTGACATAGAGAGGAATTCAAACTTTAATCTGATTGGTTTAATGGGTTTTTTTTTCAGCAGGAGAAAAAAAAGGAATAAGTTACAAGATTCTTTTAATATTTTCACAATGTTAAACTAAAACGGAGTTCTAGGCTACGTGTGTAAGTAAATCTAGAACACAAAAGGGTTAAATAAGATTTTGTTTCCTTTTAAAGTCACAAGTATTCAAGCTTTCCTTACATTTAACAAAGTCCACAGAACAGATACTTCGGAGGAACGGGCCCTACCTCCTCTCCCAGCCCCAACCTTGACTATCAATAGAGTGAACATTGTCCATAACGCACCAGGGCCTGCTTGCCAAGGCAGCTTCTCCCCTGTGCCACCTCTAAGCCAGCAGGGCCAAAGAATGGCCAAGCAGGCACAGCAAAGGGCAGTAGATGGAGGCTCTTGGAAGGCAATGGAGAGCTCGGGTCCAGTATCCCCAGAGCGAGACATACGGGAGGCTGCTGTGGATAACTTAGTGGACAGTTTGTGCTGAGGCTGTTTTAGAAAAGTGGTAGGTGTGGGGACCAAATCAACTAGATCTCCTCCCCCTCCTCCACTGAGGAGCTAACACCATTATTATGAAAAATATTAAGGCTGAAGACTTTTATAAAGGACTTTTTTGGGGGGGGCAAAGGAAGAGGGGGAAAAGAGCATTATTTCCTATGAAGAAACATTTCTAATTCCCAGGTCTTTCACTGTAGTTGATTTGCAAACATATCATTGGCCTCTTTTCTTTTTAAAACCTAAGTTGCTGGGAGAAACTATTTTAGCAGCCTAAGTACAGGGACACCCAAGTGGCCTCTTAGGGGGACCCTCTTATTGTCCACACGACTGAAATGATTTTGAAGTTGTACCATCTTAACCTTGCCCAATATTTCAAGTTCCAGGTGATTCTAATCTCTCCCTCCACCCACTCATTCCCAGTCCTCATCTTCATCCTCATCCCCTCCCTTCTTTCCCTTCCCTTCCCTCTCCATTTTTGCTACAGTACCTGGTTGATAATTCCCTTGCAACTCATGGGAAACAAGCTAATTCCCTCTCTTCTGCTTCCCTTCTTGCCTATCCAGTCCAATTCCACCCAGGCCTGGCCTATAGCAATGGACCTCCCCTGTGCCCATATTAGGAGACATGCTGGGGCCCTTTTGTAATTTTAGGCTCAGCAAGTGTGCTTGGATGTCCCTGGCCCACAACAGTTGCTTGCAGGAGATCCCAACCTTCCTGATTCTGGTAATACGTGTCATATTCTCCTACTGCACGTGACAGTACCTTATACCATGAGGCTGCACAGAAACAGGCGACGAGCCCATGTGACTATCCTGGTAACACTCTGAAGGTGAAAAGACAAACTCTGATGGCAGCAGCTGCTCCTTAGCTGTTCCCCAATACTGTTACTGACTTCTGTTTGCTATGAAATGTGTGCCCCCTTGCACCCACCTCCCCTGTCCCTTACCACCAACAGTGAAGTCTAGCTACAAAGAACTGTCTGCAAACCCTGCCATCCCCATGGCCGCTGTGCTGTGATTTAGCCTTACTGAACCAATTATCAGATACTTGCACCCAGCAAATGGTAAGTAAGAGTTAGTCAGGTTTCAGTTTCCCTGGTCAGAACTGATCCAATCAGGTCAAACGAGACCAATACAGAGTCTATAGATCCTAGGTAGAAAAATGCATTTTGCAGACTAGTCTGGGGTGGAGCTAATATTCAAAGCAAGGCCCTCTCTCTCTTTTTTCTTCTCCAAGTGATAAGACAGATTTTTCCATGGTAGGTCTGGCATAAAAGTTTTGCCCTCCTCCCACTGCCCCTGCCTTCCAGCCTCCTAGGAGTGGGCCAGCTGGCAGCCACGAGCAGCCCAGGCACGAGGGGCCGACAGGGAGCTCTGGCTGCTGGGGCCGGGATTAAGGGTAAGTGAGAGGTGAAAAGGCTGTACATTAAACACAGAGTTTCTGGCAAGGCCATGTGCGTCTCAGGAACTGTTTTAAACACCAGCTTCTACTCCTCGATTTACTTAAAGTCTCTGTCTGGACCATTTTCAGCTTAAGGCTTTTTATAAGTTTTGACTCCAGCAATGACATCTGCTTGTTTTGTTTTAAATCCACTAGCCATGCTCAAAAAAAAATATTCTTCATGTTTTAATTTTATACAGTGGCTAGCAGGCACCTTCGCAACCAGCCAGAAATCAATTTCAACCACCATCAACCCCTAAACTACAGTACCAGGACGGCTGGCTAAAGAAAGGAAACGGACTGGCTGTAGTCTGAAACGTGCCCAGTACAAGGTGTCTGGCTGACTCTGTCCTAAATAAGGCTAACATTAGTGAACTAGGAACAGGGCGTGGCTGCCGAGTTTTGCACTCAGGAGCAGCCCTCCCCAATGCGCTGGCAGGATCTCCCCACTTTCCGGTCCAGTTTCACCATTTTCAGGATGGCTTCCTCGCGGCCACGGCCCATGTGGTCAAACGTACAGTCGTGCTGCTCAGGGAGGCGGTGTAACATACAGAACACATAACCTGCAGGGGAGAAATGGAGACATGCCATTAACGACTCCTTCCACCTAGAAACCCAGTTCTGGTCCTGACAACCCAGAATGGGAGCAAGGGGAGATGGGGCCCACGTGTCATAGACTGACTTTCTGAAACGATCTTATTTCACAGTGCCCTCCTTCCTTTATATGGGTGCCCATGTCCAACCGGGTGAAGAGGGAGGGGCCCAAGGCACCACTGAAATGAGGTGGGAAATGCATAAGCCATGGACCTCAATGCCCCCAGAAGCCAGCCCAGCACTTTGTCTGACACAGGGAAGCTGTGTGACATCTATCACAAGGCACACCATCTCCCACAGGACCTCTAGGAAGCAGGAAAAAGGGGGGAATAAAAAATATATATCTATATAATTACTCAAATTACATTTTGCCTCCCACATAGCAAAGGCTTAAGGGATGTTGGGATTGATAAAACTACAACTGAGTAAGAGACCTCATAAGAAAAGGGATTATTCTGAAGTACTAGAAAAGGTATTACAAATAAATACAGAGGGGAGAACCACTCCCAAGGGGACAAGCAACCTTTAATCATCTGCTTAAAGGAACACACAGCCCTCAAATGCCACTTTGTAAGAAAGTGGGCATGTTTCCTTGGGACTCCAGCCAAAGCAGACACTAAATCCCCATTATTCCCACGGGGGTGGGGGTAGGGGCAGAATCAGACACTGGGCAAGGGTGGTCCTACACAATACTTGTATGGGAAAGGAGAGAGGACAGGGAGAGGGTCATCTGGTCTGGCACAACAGAAAGGGGTTGGTGGGATTTTGAAGGGGAGCCAACTGAAAAAGACTGTTAAAGATGAGACACCTTTTCCAGAGAAGAATGAGTACCCTCACATGTTCAGGAATCAATCCTGAAGACAGTCAGAAGACAAAGGAAAATAAAAGCTCTGCTCTCCCTAGGCTGCAGTCCTGTGGTTCTTCCTCGTTCTCTGGGCAGGAATAGAGACTACCTGGTCTAGATTCTTCCCCCTTTGGGCAAGAAGCCTTAGCTGGGAAGTCTTCTGGAGACGAGTCTGTCCTCACCTTCATTCCATTCCTACTTCCTATCCCAAACAAACTGGCAGTGTTCCCAACTAAGGTACTGTCTTTGGGGTTAACATAAGGAAATCATTATAAGGAACTGTACAATTTCCTAGACCATATTTTGTCCCACTCCAGCCACCTCCCTCAAAAACCACCTTGGACCTCCCTCCATTTCCCAGGCATCTCCAAACCATGCCCTCCATCGTCCGTCCCCAATCCTCTCCCAGCTTCCCTTTGGATATTGTCTTCCCCCGTTGGAATGTCAGCTCTTTAAGATCAGCTGTTGGGGCAGCTAGGTGGCGCAGTGGATAGAACACCGGCCCTGGATTCAGGAGGACCTGAATTCAAATCCGGCCTCAGACACATACCTACTAGCTGTATGACCCGGGGCAAGTCACTTAACCCCACTGCCTAGCCAAAAAATTTAAAAAAAACCAAAAACGACTGTTGCTTGCTTGAATTTGTATCTCAAGCACTCTGCAAAGTACCTGGCATATAGCAAGTGTTTAATAAATGCTTTATGGTTTATTCCTAAGACAGCTTTCCTGATGACAGATTTCAAGTATGTATTTGGGTCAAGGAGAAGAGGGAATAAGGCTGGCAAAAAAAGTAGGTAAGGAGGCGGAGCCAAGATGGCAGAGTAAAAGCAGTAACTTGCTTGAGCTCTCTCCCAAACCCCTCCAAATACCTGTTAAAAATGGCTCTAAACAAATTCTAGAGCAGCAGAACCCACAAAAAGAGAGAGTGAAACAAATTTCCAGCCCAAGACAACCTGGATGGTCAATAGGAAAGGTCTGTTGCACCAGGCTGGAAGAGGAGTACAGTTCAGCGTGGGCTGTACAGGTAAAGACGAGGCCAGAGAAAACCTGGAGCAGGCCTCAGGAAACAATCATGGGCAGCTGTGGCAGTTTCCAGACTTCACAAACACCAAACACAACTTAGAAGGTTAGTGGGAAAGGTCTGTTGGACTGGGTTACTGAGGAGCATGGTCCAGGCCTGGCCCTAGCACAGCCCTGGGTGGCGGCCACTGCAGCAGTGGCTGTTTCTAGAGCTCTCAGTCCATAGAGGGTGGGGGGAATAGAGAGGCTGATCAGAGGGGGATTGCAGGGATCTCTTTGCTGGCACTGAGGCAGGATTCTCTGGCTTTGCCCATGCTTGTATTTGGGTTGCAGTCCTGGGGTGAAGAGGAGCACTGGTATGGTGGTGGAGGAGAGCAAATCCTCCTCACAGTTCCAAGGCAGAAAAGAGTGCTTGTGGTCACTCACAGACCACAGCACAGGCCAGGAAAAAAGTAAACACCTCTCATCATACCACTTTGGAAGAACTAAAAATTTTCAGGTCCCTAGAAGTATCTCTGAAAACAGCTGCACAAAAGCCCTGAAGCTTTGGACAGTATACTCCCACATTGGAAGCAGAGCCCTACCTTAACAAAGAGTTAAAAAGTCAAGTAATTGGCTGGGAACATGACAAACAGAGGAAAAAAACTGAGACTATAGAATCTTACTTTGGTGACAAAGAAGATCAAAACATACAACCAGAAGAAGACAACAAAGTCAAAGCTCCTACATCCAAAGCCTCCAAGAAAAATATGAATTGGTCTCAGGCCATAGAAGAGCTCAAAAAAGATTTTGAAAAGCAAGTAAGAGAAGTAGAGGAAAAACTGGGAAAAGAAATAAGAGTGATACAAGAAAATCATGAAAAACGAGTTAACAGCTTGCTAAAGGAGACCCAAAAAATACTGAAGAAAATAACACCTTAAAAAACAGACTAGACCAAATGGCAAAAGAGGTCCAAAAAGCCAATGAGAAGAATGCCTTAAAAAGCAGAATTAGCCAAATGGAAAAGGAGGTCCAAAAGTTCACTGAGGAAAATAATCCCTTAAAAATTAGAATGGAGCAAATGGAAGCTAATGACTCTATTAGAAATCAAGACATTGTAAAACAAAACCAAAAGAATGAAAAAATAGAAGACAATGCGAAATATCTCACTGGAAAAACAACTGACCTGAAAAACAGATCCAGGAGAGATAATTAAAAACTATTGGACTATCTGAAAACCATGATTAAAAAAGAGCCTAGACATCATCTTTCAAGAAATTATCAAGGAAAACTGCCCTCATATTCTACAACCAGAGGGTAAAATAGAAATTGAAAGAATCTACCGATCACTTCCTGAAAGAGATCCCCAAAGGAAAACTCCTAGGAATATTATAGTCAAATTCCAGAGTTCCCAGGTCAAGGAGAAAATATTGCAAGCAGCCAGAAAAAACAATTCAAGTATTGTGGAAACACAATCAGGATAACACAAGATTTAGCAGCTTCTATCTACATGAAGGGATTGAAGGGCTTGGAATATGATATTCCTGAGTTAAAGAAGCTAGGATTACAGCCAAGAATCACCTACCCAGCAAAACTGAGTATAATCCTTCAGGGGGAAAAATTGACATTCAATGAAACAGGGGACTTTTAAGCATTCTTAATGAAGAGACCAGAGATGAACAGAAAATTTGACTTTCAAATAAGAGAAGCATGAAAAGGTAAACAGGGAAGAGAAACCATAAGGGACTTACTAAAGTTGAACTGTTTAAATTCCTACATGGAAAGATGATATTCGTAATGCATGAGATCCTTCTCAGTATCGGAGTAGTTGGGAGGGAATATGTGTATATATAGACAGAGGGCACGGAGTGAGTTGAATATGAAGGGGATGGTATCTTAAAAATGAAATAAAGGATGAAAAAGGATTGCACTGGGAGAAAGAGAGAGGTAAAATGGTGTAAATGATCTCACATAAAAGAGGCAAGAAAAAGCTTTTACAGTAGAGGGGAAGAGGAGAGAGGTGAGAGGGAATGAGTGAATCTTACTCTCATTGGATTTGGTTTAAGGGAGAATAACATACACACTCAATTGGTATGGAAATCTATCTTACCCTACAGGAAAATAGGAGGGAAGGGGATAAGAGAGGGAGAGATGATTGAAAGGAGGGCAGTTTGGAGGAGGGGGTAATCAGAAGCAATTTTTGAGGAGGGATAAGGTCAAAGGAGAGAATAGAAAAAACAGGGGGCAGGACAGGATGGAGGGAAATATAGTTAGCCTTTCACAACATGACTATTATGGAAGTGTTTTGCATGACTACACATGTATAACCTATATTGAATTGCTTGCCTTCTCAATGAGGGTGGGTGGGGAAGAAGGAAGAGAATTTGGAACTCAAAGAGTTAAAAAAGAATGTTAAAAATTGTTTTTACATGCAACTGGGAAATAAGATATACAGGCAAAGGGGCACAGAAATCTATCCTGCCCTACAGGAAAATAGAAGGGGGGAAGGGGATAAGAGAAGGGGAGTGGTGGTGGTGATAGAAGGGAGGGCAGACCAGGGGAAGGGGTATTCAGAATGCACGCTGTGTTGCGGTGGGGGAGAGGAGAGATGGGGAGAAAATGTGGAACTCAAAATCTTGTGAAAGTGAATGCTGAACACTAAAAATAATTTTTTTTAAAAGTAGGTAAGTTTAATGTCAAAATACAAACAAACAAAAAAACCCAAACCAAACTTTCACTACAATCAGAGCTGATCAAAAGTAAAATGGTATGCCACAGGTGGTTTCAAGCAGAGGGAGGGTGACCACTTGTGTTGTAGAGGGAATTTTCTCAGTTATGGGTTGAACTAGATGACTACATGATTCTGTAATGTTATGGGGCTAGGAGTAGGGAGAGATGGGCAAAACTGGGCAATAGGGTTAGGCCAAATAGCCGTCATCACAGTATTCTGGTCACATTAATCCCCTACTCAAAATCTTTCAGAGACTCTGTCCTACCATCCAACAAAGTCTAAACTGCTCACTCAGCCTGGTATTTATAGCACTCCACCTTACTTCAATAGCCTTCTCTCATATTTCTTCTAGCTCATGTATTCTAGGCTCTGGCCACAAAGGAAAACTTTGTCT